CACTGGTATTCTAGAAGGTGACGTGGCAATACCGCGATTGGGACCTGAAGAGCTACGTACTGAGCTCTGACGACTGAATGCATTCGCTTTAATTAATGTTGTAGGAACGCCATTTGGGCTGAAAGCAAAGTACTAGTAAGAACGGCCACTTATATATCTTATCTGACTCAATATCTAAGCAAAAAGCAGCAGAATCATGACCACTAATAAAAACTTACCCAGCGCTTATTCCAGAAAGTCTAGCTGAGGAACTCCGTTGAATAGGGTTGACATGTACTTCATCGTCCGACGACGATATGAATTCCACATCATTGTCGTATGCGAACCCCCGATTTGCTATATATGGATGTACACTGCAAAAATGTTAAAAATATGAGTAAAAAACAGAATTTTTAACAAAGAAAATAAGTGACCAATCTGCCGAATAATACCAAAGTCAAAAAAAAAAAAGATGATTTACTCAGCCCAAAACCTAGCTTCCATTATGAAAAACGCGTCATTGAATACTAAACAACTGTAACTAGATAAAAAGTCGGCGCATTTACTTTTGTTTGCCACTGTTCAAGGAACCATTGATAAGGTTCAGATCAGCTCGGACTGCCATGTTTTTCTGAACAGCCCTTTTGTGTTTTCCGGAGGAAGCCGATGCACGAACATTAGATATTTTAAGTTCACGTTCTCTAAGTTCCAGTTCTTTCTGGCGCAACTCCTAAACCGGAATTTGAATCTTTAATCCACTAATTAACAAACTTGAGAGAGCAGCAGAAGAGGAAAAAATTGAAAGTTAAAATGACCTCTTCCTTTATATTGATCTGCTCTAGACAAGTCGTCAGCTCGGAACACATCTTGTCTGCCCTTCGCATCTTCTTGTTGTACAGTTCCCGGATGTCCTGCACGTGGCGCATCTTCTCCTGTAGTTTTTGCTCTAGCTGAGTATAGTCTGTAAAATTTATTATTTTCATGCTAACTTAAAAACTCTCACAAATTAGCATCATCTGGACCGATGTTTTGAAGTTTTTTAACCGTATCAATAGGCTTAATGTCGCTCAATCTAACAACGAACTCAGATATTTATGAATTACCTGAAATTGACTTTATTTTTCCGTCTTGAGGGATCTGTTTCATATACTCGATGACATAGTCCTTGCACTGTTTAATCTTTTCCTCCCATTCTTCTTCTGTTATTCCTTCAACTTCTGACTGAAAAAAAAGCAAATGAAACGGAAGAATCAGGTCGATTGAATCCTATAGTTACATATGAACTTTTTTACAATTTGCACAATGACCGCAGCAAGTGTAACGCATAACATTATTTGCCACATGAAACTGTAATTTACTTTGAATACGGCAACGTGAGTTAAAATTTGACTGAAAGAAGGTCGATTAGCAGGTTTGATACTCCAGCACTGTTTCAGCAGCAGTTTGATTCCGTCTGGTGCCATAGACGGAATAGGAAGGCTCAGTTTACTAAAAAATAGATCCGTTACAAAGCTGAACTTCTGAGAGCACCACAAAATACTAAGTCAAAAACTAACTTTGAACCGACTCCATAAATGATTGCCATAGAATCAACATCCTTGTATGGTGCTTCCGTAGTCAAAAGCTCCCAGAGTACGACACCGTAACTCCAAATATCAACCTAAGACAGCAGTATTCGCTTTATCTAATAAAAATAATTCACAAAAAAGACCAGTGGTATCCAGCTAGCCTTAAAAATTAATTCCAGTTATCATATTTTAGACGCTTAGTTGGACATACTTTTTCAGAACAAGGTTCTTTCTTTATGATCTCAGGAGCCATCCACGCCGCTGTGCCGCAAAACGACATGACTGTACTTCTTTGCTTATCCCAGATATGCGAATTACCAAAATCGCAAATTTTCAGCACATATTGATCGTTGACAAGAATACTAAAACAGTAAAAATGTTCCGGTTTTTGAAATTTTTTTCATTCATTATCTAATTGGGTCTGCCTAGATTACTTTGGTGACTTTAAATCTCGATGGATGATCTTCTTAGAGTGGAGATACTTCATCCCATCAGCGATCTGTCTAGACCACTCACACAGCTGCTCTTTGCCAATTTTGCATCCATTCTGTATCAGTTGAAACAATTGGCCTTTCCCACAATATTCCATCAAAAGGCAGAAACAAGGTGACTGAGTGCAAACACCACTGAAAGATGGCTTCATAAAATGCAAGAAATTACTATTTAAACTTGGTGAACAATAACTAGCTGTGAGCCATCATTGAAATTGTTAGCCATAAAAATGAAGTAGTAAAGTTAAAAAGTTTCTTCAAAAAAAAAAATGAAAGACACTAACTAAAACTTCATCACGTTTGCATGGTTCAAATAAAGTAGATGCTTGATCTCAGTTTCTTGTTTCGACTTCACTTTCTTCACAGCAATCATCTCGCCATTCAAAATGCCCTTAAATACTGCACCCTGCGAGCCTGCAGCAATCCAGTCTAAGTTTGAGATTGATTCAAATGGTATCTCCCAGTCATCTTCCAAATATGTGGACGCCGAATCGTTGCTTGATCTAGGATTAGGCCATTCAAAAACTCTAGATCAGAAAACAAGAGTCAATTCTCTCTAAATAATTGCGGACATTGATTGAAGTTCTGTAAAACTTTTCAGCATTTCTTTTCAATATTTCACAATACGTAAGAAGGAAAACTTACGACGTTGAGTTTTGAAGGCCAACTCCTCGTGGGACAAAACATGAGAACAGATGATTATAAACTATAGTTACAATAGACAATGAGAATCTATTCGGAGTTTCTGCAATAAATTTGAGTAGTCTCAGCCCAGCTAGTCTAAAATTCTATAACTGTTGACTATATTATTTCTGCCTCAAAAAATACCCCACAAAAGCAACAAATTTAAAACAGCGCAAAAATTTTAGTTGTCGAACTTTATGTACGTGTAGAGTTTTCAAAAACTGACAAACAATTTATTACTAAAGATGGGTGGTAAAAATAAGCAAATTTTGGTTTGTGAACTCGAATTTGAGACATTAGTTCGCTATCTGTATTTCGTGCCAAGAAAAAAAATGTCTCTCTTTATTCTCTTGTTTCTTGTATCTTGATCTTAACTTTAGCAAGCAGTAAAATTTGTAAATGATAAACCAATTTTAAGAAAATATGTTTAACAAACCTGAGGTCCCACAAGCTACAGTCTTCGCAGCCACCGGCGTAGCCGGAGCACTTTGAGCACCCATAACAACTAATTTAAAAACCACAACAACTTCTTGTTAGCCAGTTCGAGTTACTAATTGTGTTTTTTTTTTTTTTT